TGTTTTATGCTCTATCGCCTCGTTTGCCTCAGACTGCTGTCTTACGTTACCTAATAACCTATTGCTACAGAAGGTCAAACCCGTATATAATGTCTCACACTTGTCACCGCTGCACAGCTTACCTCAAAGTTGGGTAATTAAACATTTTTTGCATTTGCTGGCTTGACGTCATCGGCTCATTTGCCTCGTACTGATGTTCTACGTTACTTATTAACCTATTGCTACAGAAGGTCAAACCCCTTCATAATGTCTCACAACTGTTTTTAAATCTGCAACTGAACAGTAATTATTTCCGGCATTATAAGGGGATTTATCAGCCCTTAGCCAAGGTTAAAACGGTAGACATTTCTCCTCGGCTGCTTGAAGCTGGGACGACGGCGACGTCGCTCCAGTCGCAGCTTGCTAAGAAGAGGGGCCTCTTTTAAGGCTCTTTTTTGAATATATATATGAAACCGTCAATCGAAAAGAGTTCGAAAAGTTCTTGCTAGATATTGATAAAAATATTTTTATTTTTTGTGCAACTGAACACAGCAAATTTTTTTCACACCTGATTAACCCACCATTGGTTTCTGCATTGACTGTTGTCATCCGTTCAACTAACTATTTAGCGATATTTACGTATTAGAAAAGTAAAATTTTAAGCATAAAATTTTTAAACGTGATCGTTGAAGGCGTTCACTAATAACAATCAATGTATTTATCCCGTGTTTACCGAAATTTTTTAAACTGATTTTTTCCACTGTTTACCCGTACACAATTTCTATGTATCTTTGCTGTAAAAGAGAACAAGTTATGCAGAGTATCATACCTGTTTAGAACAAAAAAATAGTTTGCTCTGCTTGACATTATCCTCAGAAAAGGTTTAATCCTTATTTGTTATTTTTGCTGACGTAGAATTGATTTTTTGCGACGACTTTCACAACTTCAACATGGCTGCGCTTAGCTGCGGTCTTTAAAGTGCAGTATGTTTGACGTTGTCTGTGATGTGTTCTCGATGCAGTTTTAGGACGTAGGTGGATTAACGAGAGAGTGTTGTAAAGAGGCAGATGACTGCTTTAAGTATTAATACATTTAGTTATTTTTACAGTATAATACTATGTCGTTTTCATGTATTCATCAATTCCACTTTCTTCTTTGCGTCAAATAACTCATTACGTCAGCAAGACCACTCAAAGAAGCGATTTTTGGCGACGTCTGCTAAAATAAAGCAGTAGGTGGCGATAAACTTTTGAACTGAAAAATCATAGTTTTTTGTAGAAATGATGTTTTCAATTTGAGCCAAAGCAGAAGTAACTTTGCACCTTTAAGCCATTCATTTTCTTCCTAATGATCAAAAATATATATCCATACTGTTGAGGAACTGATAGCATTTCGGAGACAAGTCGTTAAAAGAGTTAAACAAAGAACTGAAGA